TGTGCTTATATATATTTCCTTATCTGTGTTAGGTTAAAATAGGTTTGGTATATAGATTAGGAGTTAGCCGCTATTGTAAACTCGATACACTAAAACATAATTTTATTCAGATCTTTTAAATCTAGAGGAAATCTACAACTAGTTACAACTATCTTTGCCTCTGTTACGGAACTTGAAAACCACAATTTCGAATGTGCATATATTTTTTTTTTTGTCAACTTTCGGATGTGCATATCTTTAGGAAAATGCTGTAGTTAGTGAACCAAATGTAAACCAACACAAACAAAAGTCAGACCGAACTCCAATAACCAAATTCCAATATATATTTGAAGGAATGATTACAAAATTTATAGAATCACCTTCATCTGTTTTGAACATATAAGGAATGTTCAACGCATCCTCAACATGGCCCTTGGCGAATTCTTCATTTGTCCTACAATTATCACCATTCAACAATAAAGATCATTAGAATACGCATATATAGATATCCACATGTACAAGAATATATTAAAACGAAATGATATTTTCTTTATGTACCTAACATCGAGATATCGATGATGACCAACACTAAGCAAACCTTTTGCTGTATAAACATCAACAGTCTCAACATCTTCAACTCTGTAAAAATAAAATCAACAATAGAAACCTAATATATTTATATTTGTACATATACATACATACATAGCTGTTCAAAATTTATATACGAAAGACTAATTTTTTTTATATATTTTCTTACGTCTTTGTGTTTGTTTCTTCCATCAGTAAGCCTTAAGGAGATATCCGATTTTGATCTGCTTTTCTTGTTCGTCTTCTACTTTGATAAAAGGTTGAAGAGAAGAAATGTATACAACTTTCAATTATTCAACTTGCTCTTATATTAATATTATTAACTAAATCAAGTTTCAATTGTATAAAAATTAACAAATAGTCAAACTATTATTTTATCATTTATTGATCGTGAAACTTGAAGGGAAAGAAAGTGGATTTTAAAAATTCAAACCATCAGTTTGTTTAGTTTTTTTTTTATACAAAGAAAATAGTAGTTGACCCTTACGCTTTTCGTGCAGGCAACTCGAATCTCACTATTGATGGGTTAACAATTTTGGAACTCATGAAGGTTTAAAAGTTAAGAAAATGATTGTGTTTTCAAAATTACCCTTAGCCGTAAAAGGCTCCATTCGTTAGGCCCATTAGAACATGTACACTGGTTAAAGGCACTAATGGGGTTTTTAACAATTTTATAATACTAAATCAATAATAATGTTAATTTAGAACTCACTAATTGTTTTTAATTTTTTTTTTGTCATTCATTGGTTACAACTCCAAAKAGATTCTCACAAATAAAAATATTATTTTTATAAAATTTGAAACATACAATCTATACTTATAAACATGAAGTCGAAAATCTGAGGTGGCATCACGAGAATCAGTTTCAGAGTTAAAATTACCGTGATATCCTAAAATCTCTATTTAATTACGCTAGAATGCCATCGCTTTTAGTTTGGGCTGGTTTTCAGATTGTATACTAAACAAAACCCATACAAATAAGTTGGCATACAAAAGCCCTATTATTTGACTATATTTCGTAAATCTAATTTTCGTAATATATAATATCTCTCCAAA